TGCGCCCGCGGCCGTCTTGGTTCAAGCGGCCGGCCGCCTAGATTTGACTGTGCCTCATCGCGAGGCACACTATCGCTATCGATACTAAAAGGCATCCCCTTTTACTTGACATGGCTTCCCCTCTTGCATTGGGACTATCGTTACTACGATACAACCGAGCTGGAGCTTGGTTTCGCCTGAGGCGAAGCTGCTGGCGGGGCCCCCCAGCCCCCTGCAAACTTCTTGGGCCATCTTGGGCCGTCTTGGAGTCTTGGGCCGTCCGGAAGGCCGTCTTGGACCATCTTGGGCGGATTTGGAGACCGTCTTAGACCATCTTGGAGGCCATCTAGGGCCAACGTGGCCATCTTGGAAGCCATCTTGGGCCATTTTGAGCGAAAGATTGGGGAATTGAGCGCCTTCCGGGTGGCCGGTGGGACGGGCCGAAGCCCCAAGGGGAGTTCTTTTTTGGAAAAAAAACTTGGAGGGTTCAGCACGCCAGGCACCCCTGCGATGAATCGACAGGGGGCGGCGGATCGAAGACGCCTACGGCGAATCACCGCCGCCCCCTGCCTTTTTGGAAGCGCCTATGTGGCCGAACGTTGAGGTCAGACCTGCCAAGCTATCGGACCACGTGTTCCCCGAATCGGTTTGGAAAGCCTTCGGGGAACACGTGGGCATTTTGAAGGTCATCTTGGCCGTCTGGAGGCCATTTTGACCCTTTCGGGCCTTCTTGCAGGACGTCTTGGAGGGCTCTTGGGCCGTCTTGGAGGCCATCTTGTGCCGTCTTGGGTTTTTTTGGGGGCCGTGTCTCGGGCCTCTTGGGCGATCTTTGGGGGCACTTGGGCCGTCTCGGGCCGTCGGAAGGCAGAAAAAACGCAACTGCCAGAATCCTTCAAAAACCCAACGGGCAATCTATGATTTGGGCCTTTTCGGGCCTTCCTGGGGGCCCTCTTGGAGGCCTCTTGGGCCGTCTTGGGCCATCTTAGGGCAATGTTCGGCCGTCTTGGTGGGCTCCTGGTCCGTCTGACGCCGTCGGAAGCCGTTTGGGGGGCCTCTCTGAGCCAACTTGTGGCTCTCTTGGAATGTTCCAGGGCCGTCTTGGAGGCCATCTTGGGCGTCTTAAAGGCCTCCTGTGCCATCTTGGGGGCTTCTTGGGGCCGTTTTGGGGCCATCTTGGGCCGTTCTGGGGCCATCTTGGAGGCCTCTTGGGCGATCTTTCGGCGATCTTTGGGGGCTCTTGGGCCGTCTCGGGCCGTCGGAAGGCCGAAACGAAGGAAATGTCAAAATCCGTCAACATCCTTAGGAACATCTAGGTTTTTGGCCTCTTCTGGCCTTGCTGGAGGCTCTCTTGGGGGCCTCTTGGGCTGTCTTGGGCCAGCTTCGAGCCAACTTCGGCCATCTTGGTGGGTTCCTGGCACGTCTGACGCCGTCGGGTGCCGTCTTGGGAGCCTTTCTGGGCCAACGGGGGACTCTCTTGGGGCGCTTCGGGGCAGTCTTGGAGGCCATCTTGGGCGTCTTGGAGGCCATCTTGGGCGTGTTGGAGGCCTCTTGGGCCGTCTTGGGGCCCTCTTGGGGCCATCTTGGAGGCCACTTGGGCCGTCATGGGGCCCTCTTGGGGGCCTCTTGGGCGATCTTGGGGGCACTTGGGCCGTCTTGAGCCGTCGGAATGCCGAGGAGAAGCAAATTCCAAAATCCTTCAAAAACCAAAGGAACATCAATGATTTTGGCCTCTTCGGGCCCTCCTGGAGGACCTCTTGGAGGCCTCTGGGGCCGTCTGGGAGGCCTCTGGGGGGCCTCTTGGGCTGTCTTGGGCCGTCTTGGACTCTCTGAGGCCGTCTTGGAGGCCGTCTTGGACCATCTTGGGCGGACTTGGAGGCCATCTTGGACCATCTTGGAGGCCATCTTGGGCCAACGTGGCCATCTTGGAAGCCATCTTGAGCCATCGCACCTTTCTGGGTGGCCGGTGGGACGGGCCGGAGCCCCAGGGGGAGTTCTTTTGCAAAAAAAACCATAACCCAAACCGAGAGGATCTAGCACGCCAGGCACCCCTGCGATGAATCGACAGGGGGCGGCGGATCGAAGACGCCTACGGCGAATCACCGCCGCCCCCTGCCTTTTTGGAAGCGCCTATGTGGCCGAACGTTGAGGTCAGATCTGCCAAGCTATCGGACCATGTGTTCCCCGAATCGGTTTGGAAAGCCTTCGGGGAACACGTGGGCATTTTGAAGGTCATCTTGGCCGTCTGGAGGCCATTTTGACCCTTTCGGGCCTTCTTGGAGGACGTCTTGGAGGGCTCTTGGACCGTCTTGGAGGCCATCTTCAGCGTCTTGGAGACCCCTTGGGCCGTCTTGGGGGCCACTTGGGGCCGTGTCTTGGGCCTCTTGGGCGATCTTTGGGAGCCTCTTGGGCCGTCTCGGGCCGTTGGAAGGCAGAAAAAAAGCAAATGCCACAATCCTTCAAAAATCCATTGGAAATCAATGATTTTGGCCTTTTCGGGCCTTCCTGGAGGCTTTCTTGGAGGCCTCTGGGGCCGTCTTGGGTCATCTTAAGGCCATGTTCGGCCGTCTTGGTGGGCTCCTGGTCCGTCTGACGCCGTCGGAAGCCGTTTTGGGGGGCCTCTATGGGCAGACTTGGGGCCCTCTTGGAATGCTCCAGGGCCGTCTTGGAGGCCATCGCGTCTTAAAGGCCTCCTGTGCCGTCTTGGGGGCCTCTTGGGGCCGTTTTGGGGCCATCTTGGGCCGTTCTGGGGCCATCTTGGAGGCCTCTTGGGCGATCTTTCGGCGATCTTTGGGGGCTCTTGGGCCGTCTCGGGCCGTTGGAAGGCCGAAAAGAAGGACATGCAAAAATCCGTCAACATCCTTAGGAACATCTAGGTTTTTGGCCTCTTCTGGCCTTGCTGGAGGCCCTCTTGGGGGCCTCTTGGGCCGTCTTGGGCCAGCTTCGAGCCAACTGCGGCCATCTTGGTGGGTTCCTGGCACGTCTGACGCCGTCGGGTGCCGTCTGGGGGGCCTTTCTGGGCCAACGGGGGACCCTCTTGGGGCGCTTCGGGGCAGTCTTGGATGCCATCTTGGGCGTCTTGGAGGCCATCTTGGGCGTGTTGGAGGCCTCTTGGGCCGTCTTGGGGCCCTCTTGGGGCCATCTTGGAGGCCACTTGGGCCGTCATGGGGCCCTCTTGGGGGCCTCTTGGGCGATCTTGGGGGCCTCTTGGGCCGTCTTGAGCCGTCGGGATGCCGAGAAGAAGCAAATTCCAAAATCCTTCAAACACTTAAGGAAAATCAATGGTTTTGGCCTCTTCGGGCCCTCCTGGAGGACCTCTTGGAGGCCTCTGGGGCCGTCTGGGAGGCCTCTGGGGGGCCTCTTGGGCCGTCTTGGACTCTCTTGGGCCGTCTTGGAGGCCGTCTTGGGGGCCTTTCTGGGCCGACTGGGGGCCCTTTTGGGGCGCTTCGGGGCCGTCTTGGAGGCCATCTTGGGAGTCTTGGAGGCCACCTTGGGCGTGTTGGAGGCCTCTTGGGCCGTCTTGGGGCCCTCTTGGGGCCGTCTTGGAGGCCACTTGGGCCATCATGGGGCCCTCTTGGGGGCCTCTTGGGGGCCTCTTGGGCGATCTTGGGGGCCTCTTGGGCCGTCGTGAGCCGTCGGAATGCCGAGAAGAAGCAAATTCCAAAATCCTTCAAACACTTAAGGAAAATCAATGGTTTTGGCCTCTTCAGGCCCGCCTGGAGGACCTCTTGGAGGCCTCTTGGGCCGTCTTGGAGGCCTCTGGGGGGCCTCTTGGGCCTTCTTGGACTCTCTTGGGCCGTCTTGGAGGCCGTCTTGGACCATCTCGGGCGGACTTGGAGGTCATCTTGGGCCATCTTCGCGATTTTTTGAGGATGTTCCGAGCGAAACGGCATTGACCGATGCAGTTTCCGGGTGGCCGGCGGGACGGGCCGGAGCCCCAGGGGGAGTTCTTTTGGAAAAAGAATTAAAACCAAAACCGATAGGGTCCAGCACGCCAGGCACCCCTTTGCTAAAGCAAAAGGGGGCGGCGGATCGAAGACGCCTACGGCGAATCACCGCCGCCCCCTGCCCGTGTGGAAGCGCCTATGTGGCCGAACGTTGAGGCCAGACCTGCCAAGCCATCGGACCATGTGTTTGTTCCCCGAATCGGTTTGGAAAGCCTTCGGGGAACACGTGGGCGTCTGGAATCTCATCTTGGCCGTCTTGGAGGCCTCTTGGGCGATCTTTCGGCGATCTTTGGGGGCTCTTGGGCCGTCTCGGGCCGTCGGAAGGCCGAAAAGAAGGAAATGCCCAAATCCGTCAAAAACCTAAGGAAAATCAATGATTTTGGCCTCTTCTGGCCTTCCTGGAGGCCCTCTTGGGGGCGTCTTGGGCCCTTTTGGGCCAGCTTCGAGCCAACTTCGGCCATCTTGGTGGGTTCCTGGCACGTCTGACGCCGTCGGGTGCCGTCTTGGGGGCCTTTCTGGGCCAACGGGGGACTTTCTTTGGCTTGCTTGGAGGCCATCTTCGTGTTGGGGCCATCTTGGGCGTGTTGGAGGCCTTCGGGCCGTCATGGGGCCCTCTTGGGGGCCTCTTGGGCGATCTTGGGGGCCTCTTGGGCCGTCTTGAGCCGTCGGAATGCCGAGAAGAAGCAAATTCCAAAATCCTTCAAACACTTAAGGAAAATCAATGGTTTTGGCCTCTTCGGGCCCTCCTGGAGGACCTCTTGGAGGCCTCTTGGGCCGTCTTGGAGGCCTCTGGGGGGCCTCTTGGGCTGTCTTGGGCCGTCTTGGACTCTCTGAGGCCGTCTTGGAGGCCATCTTGGACCATCTTGGGCGGACTTGGAGACCATCTGGGGCCGTCTTGGAGGTCATCCTGGCCGTCTTGTGTGGCCGAACGTTGAGGCCAGACCTGCCAAGCCATCGGACCATGTGTTCCCCGAATCGGTTTGGAAAGCCTTCGGGGAACACGTGGGCGTCTGGAAGGTCATCTTGGCCGTCTTGGAGGCCTCTTGGGCGATCTTTCGGCGATCTCTGGGAGCTCTTGGGCCGTCTCGGGCCGTCGGAAGGCCGAAAAGAAGGAAATGTCAAAATGTCCCAATCCGTAGCCATTTTGGCTCAAGCCATTTTAGCCCTTGCCATAGCTATTTTTGCCGTGGGGGCCAATCCCTACCTTGACCCATAATGTTGTTTGTGTTGTTGGTTATTTGCTTTCATGGCGCCGCGTCCGTACACGTAGATGTGCTTCGTGACAGACCACGTGTTGCAGTATTAATCGTGGGCAAATCGTTTAACAGCCGGAGGATGGCAAACAGTTCAAGCTTGTCTAACGCCTCCTTGCAAGACAGAGGGGCGGGGGCAGGAACTACCGATGCAACGAACATGTTCGATTTCATGACCGGAGAAGACAACACCGATGACGGAGACACACTGCAGTTTGAGAGAGAGCCTGGCGTTGTAAACCGCACGTGGGATAACATTCTGAATATGTTGATCAAGCCAGTAAAGAAGACCCACTGGGTGGACGTGATTCTCTGCATTGACAAGAAGGTGAATGACGTGCCTCCCGAGGTAACGCACGTGTTCGCGATCTCCGCTCCAAGCCAGGAGGAACGCGGCCTCCAGTGCCTGGCGAAGATAAGAAATAACCATCGCACGTATGAGTGGCTGATCAAAACGCGGCCAGACTTTATGTTTTACAGGCCGTTTCCATCGATGACGTCTTTCCTTCCCGGCTACGTGTACACGCGATTCCGCGCCGTCGCAGGGATAAGCAATCTCACGTCAGACCATTTCTCGTGGGACTACTGCACTTCGCGGTGCAATGCCGGGCCTCCCGGCCGCTACGGCTACATGAACGATGACATGGTGCGAGTAGTGCCCGCAGCTTTGATGCAGTTTGCATTCAGGAGTCTTGGTGATACTACTAAGGTGAAGACCCCCCAAACATGGATCGCATATAAGAACTTCCCCCACGAGGTAGGGCTCTCTCTCTTCTGGCTTGAGCGAGGCATTCGCACCATGCCATTGGCTTGCCCAGGCTACCCTAGGCATGCCAGATATCATCATCATGAGTTGAGCTATCCGTGTTCAACCGTGCCAGTGAAGAAGAACTGCCAGCCAAATTTGCCGATCCAGGATGTCCATAAGGCACTCGTGTAGAAAGGATGGTCGCACGCAGTCGCCAGTTGAACTGGAGGAGTGTTTTCCCAGTGCACGTGCTCGCGGAGATAGGAATCTAGTTTCCAGCCAATAGGGAGAAACCAGTCTGAGACGGGAACCGTTTTAGAATGCCAGCCTTGTTTGTGAACTCCCCGCTCTCCCCTTTTCCCGCTCCTGCTTCCATCCCATATCCTTTCGCCCCTCATGTGTGCACTGTTGCGTGGCCGTTTCGCTCGAACAGTCTTGAGGGGCTCCTCTTGCAGAGCCGCTTGCGAGCGACATCAGATCAGATACGATAACTCAGCATAAGACCCACAGCATAGCACAGCATAGCATTCATACATCAGCGATTGTGCGTTTCTGTGTTATGTGCCGGGCTCGACGCCCCGATGTCATATCAGTTCCGTGCAGGAGCTTGCAGTTTCGCCAGGACTGACATCCACCCGTGGCAACGCTTCACCACGCAGTGAAAAAAGCCATAGAGAGCCTTAGAGAGCCTTAGAGGGCCTTAGAGAGATTTGGAGAACCACAGGAAGCCTTAGAGAGACTTGAAGTCGAGCCCTAGAGCGCCCCGGAGAGCCCCAGAGGGTCTTAGAGAGCCGTGGATACCCCACGAGAGCCCGAGACAACCTTCGAACTCTTTAGATCACCGCAGAAGGCCTCAGACAGCCCTAGAGATCATATGGGGGGGGGAGTTCTTGAGAGCAGTGGAGAGCCATAGACTAGGGATCCTTTGAGAACCCGACAGGGACCCAGAGGAGGAGAAATATGGCGGGAGGAAAAAAGGGGGAATGTAAGAGGGGATAATGAGGAAAATGACGTTGGGAATGAGCCTGTGTCTTATCATATCATATCATGAACCGTCTCTTCTGTGATATTTCTGTTTCCGCGTGCTCAGAGTGGTGCATCATCCAAGACGCCTGCGGCGAATCGCAGCCGCCCCCCAGCCTCTCTGGAAACGCTTGCGTGGCTGAATTTCGAGCTGCGCTCTGGCCGAGCTTTCGGGCAATGTGCCTCCCCGCCGTCGCTGGGCCCCTCGTGGGCGCAGCTGTGGGACAGAACGGCCCCATAGGGAGCTCCACCGAAGGCCCCAGTGGCAGGATCCGCATGGCACCGCCGTCCAATTTCAGCACACCCCTCACACGGTTCGTGGCCCCATAGGGAGCTCCACCGAGGGCCCCAGTGGCTGGGTCCGCATGGCATTGCCGCCCCATGTCGGCACACCGCTCACACGGTTCGTGGCCCCATCGGAAGCTCCACCGAAGGCCCCAGCGGCAGGTTCCGCATGTCACCGCCGCCCAATTTCGGAAAACCCATCACACGGTTCGTGGCCTCATAGGGAGCTCCACCGAAGGCCCCAGTGGGAGGGTCTGCATGGCACCGCCGCACCATTTCGGCCCACCGTTCACACGGTGTGTGGCCCCATAGGGGGCTCCACCGAAAGCGGTACCCACAATGCGCTTGTCACAAGCGCGTATAGTTTGGTCGTTCGCTCGGATGTCTGTCTTTAGTTGAACAAGAATGTGTTTGAAAAACATGGTTTTGGGCCCAGATGGGGGCCACCACGATGGGTCGACGGATGCGGTGTGGCCCTTTTGGGAGGGGGGGGGTAAGGGAGAGGCATACAAAGTAACGCAATACAACATGTGGCAATTATGCAATCATTGGGAACATGGGATACGTTGCAGTAGGGCGACTGCTCCGCTGCGCGACCTGTCACCAGCAGCACGTCACTTCTGGACGTGGATTCCTCTCGATTCGCGGGGTGCACGTCTTGAGCACGTGCAATCTAGTCGTTGCGGGGCCTGGTGGGAGCCTCTTCGGGGCCTTTTGGAAGCCCCTTGGGGGCGGGGGGGCTGCTTTGGGGCATCGTGGGGCCTCGTTGGGCTGTCTTGGGCTTTCTTGAGGCGCTTTTGCGCGGTTTGGTTGCCTTGGGATGCCGTCCTGTGTTCTTCTCGCGGCCGCCTTGGGGCGCTCTGGGGGTCCCCTTGGGCCGTCTTGGGAGCATCGAAGATCGTTTTTGGGGCGTTTTTGGGGCCATCTTGGGGCCCCTTTGAGTGCCTTGTTGGGTCGTGTTGGGGCCAGGTTGGCAGCTGCTTGGGCCGTCATGGGCCCCTGAGAGTCGAATACGGCGGCACACTAACACCCTTCAAACACCTGAAGAACATCTGGGAGCTCTTGGTGGTCCTCTTGGGGGAGCTCTTGGTGGTCCTCTTGGGGCCCTGGTGGGGGAGCTCTTGGTGGTCCTCTTGGGGCCCTGGTGGGAGCTCTTGGTGGTCCTCTTGGGGGAGCTCCTTCTGTGCTGGGCCTCTGGGGGAGCTCTCGGTGGTCCCTCTTTGGGGCCCCTGGTGGGGTCTGCGGGGCCCTCTCGGCGCCAGCTTTTGGACCGTCCTGGGGCCGCTCTTGGCCCGTCTCGAGGCCGTATTTTTAGCCGCCTTGACGCCCTCGGCGTATCCCCACCCAGATTTGGCCTCGTCCTGGCTTGACCTTCAGGCTCGGCCTCTGCCGAGTCTCCCCCCCCCCTCGGCGGCAGCGCTGCCCTCCCGGCTCTCCGGGGGCCCTGGCCCCTCGCCCGCCTTCCCCTGCCGCACCCCCCCCCCCGCTCCTCCTCGGCGCTCCTGCCTCGCGAGGACCCCCCAAGGGGCCCAATTAGCTCAAATCGTAGCTTTTCCATCGGCATTCGTAGGCTTCGAAGCCCAAAAGGGGGGCCCTCTTGGCGCCCGCCTGGACCGTCTTGGAGCCGCCTTGGCCCGTCTCGAGGCTGTATTTTTAGCCGCCTTGACGCCCTCTTGGACCCCCAAAGGGGCCCAATTGGCTCAGATCGTAGATTTTCCATCGGTATTTGTAGGTTTCGAAACCCAAAAGGGGTCCGCCACGTCTGGGCCGACGGAAGTGGCGCGACTCCAGGGGGGGGGGGGGTAGGGGGGACGCATAATTATGTGACACAGTACAACATGTGGCAATGATGCGACAATTGAAAACATTGGATACGTTGCATTATCGCCTTCGCGGAAAACGCTGCCGCTCAGCACGTCACCTCCAGACGTGGATTCCTGTCGCTTCGCGGGGTGCACGTCTGGAGCGCACAGAGTCCAGTCGTTGTGGGGCCTCATGGGGGTCTTGTAGGAGTCGTTTTGGAAGCTTCTTGGGGCTGCTGCAGCGCCGCCACGAGGTGGCGGTACTTCTGGGGCACGAGACGACCTATGTCTTCGAACGCGAGGTCGTTCAGCGATCGGAACGGCACGTTCATCGCCGCCCACTGGCCCTAATAGCGGTCGTTGAGCTCGTAGGCGGTGTCGACGCTGACCACGTTCTTGCCTTGCATGCGGTACGCCTGCGCGAACTCTTCCAGCGTCGGGAAGTCTGCCTCACCCTCGCTCTTTTCGCCGTTGTGTTTCTTTGCAAGGAACTCCACGAAGTTCGCCGGCCTCCTCGACTTCGTCTTCGCCATCTTCGGCGCTGCCGTCGCCTGCCTCAGCCTTCGCAGCGCCCGGGTTCCCTTCTTCAGTTGGATAATCGGCTGACATTTCTTTTTGGAGGTAACCCTTTTCCCCAAAGACACCTGATTGAACGGTGTGATGGGAGGCAGCTCCTCGTCAAAACGGGGCTCCCGCTCGGATGGCAGGCCCAGGTGGTGGTGGTCTCTTGGGCGCGCTGCTTCCAGTGGGAACGAAGGCTTGTAGGGACTTCTGACGAGGGGACTTGGGACGGGAGGGTGTAGTGCAGCATCCCTCCTCCACCTTCTCCTCCTCTCCTCCCCCGCCTCCCCCCCTCGCCATCTCCCCCCTCGCCCTCGCCTCCTCGTTGTCGTCGTCCTCCTCCTCCTCCTCCCGTTCTCCCCGCTCTGCCCCTACAGCTTCACCGACCCCGCTGCCACCCCTTCT